AATAAATAAAGAGAGAGGGAGAGACAAAGACAAAGACAGAGAGACAATAAATAAATAAATAAATAAATAAATAAATAAATAAACAGAGACAAGGAGACGAAGACGAATATTATTGTTTTTATAATTATTAATGTACAGCAGCATTTTGCATGCATTAACAATATGCTATTTGTTTTTCTGTCTTTGTTTTGTTGTCTTTAATTATTATATTTGTTTGTGTTGTCTTTAATTATTATATTTTCGTCTTTAATTATTTTTACTTCTTGTAGAAAAGAACCCTCCGATACTTTCTGCTGTCTTTTACTTCTTTTTATTATTATGATTAATATAATAATAATAATAATAATATTATTATTATTATTATTATTATTATTAACATAATAATATTGTTGTTCTCCTCCTTCTTCTTCATCTTCATATTATTATTATTGTTACATTAATAATACTAAAGACAATAACAATAATATTTATATTATTATTACTATTATTATTAGTATTATTATTATATTTATTCTTCATCTTCTTCTTCTTCTTCTTCTTCTTCTGACTCGCTAGACGAAGACGAAGAAGAAGACGAAGATGAAGATGAAGACGAAGGAGCGGGAGGCGGAGGACCTACAAAAGAAAACAAACAAAAACAAAAAAAGAAATAACTCTGTAATCTTTTTATTACTTTCACTTTATTAAGATATATAGAAACAGACAAACAAATATATATATATATATTATGTTTATATGTATATATCTATATATATTATGTGTATATATATAATGTTTATATATAATATATATATATAAACATATATATATGTTTATATATATATATATATATATACATAAACATATATATATTTATATAAACATAAACAAACTTCACTTCTCTGCACTCGAAACAGTCGGCAGGTAATCCAGCAGCAAAGGAGGCAGCAGCAACAGCAGCAACAGAAGCAGCAGTAGCAGCACCAGAAGCAGCAGCAGCAGCAGCACCAGGAGCAGCAGCAGCACAAGCAGCAGCAACAGGAGCAGTAGTAGCAGCAGCAGCAGCAGGTTTGTCTCTTCGTTTATTTATCTCACGTTTGGCTGCAGGGAAGCTCTTCTTAGGTGTTGCTTTAGAAGAAGAAGAAGTAGAGGGATGTGCTGCAGCAGCAGCAGCAGCAGCAGGAGATGGTTTAGAGACAGCAGATTGATTTGTTTGCTTTGCTGCTGCAGCGCCACCGCTTTTAGAAGGAGACTCTTCGTTGCTGCTGCTGTCTTCTGAATCTTCTTCTTCAGAAGAGTCGCTGCTACTACTGCTGCTGCTGCTCTCGCTGCTGCTGCTTTCGCTGTCGCTGCTGCTGCTGCTGCTCTCGCTGCTGCTGCTGCCTTCTATTGAATACCCTTCGTGTACAAGCGAAGGCTCTTCGATTGCTGCTGTTAGGGCCTCTATACAAAACTGAGAAAAAAAGAGACAAACAGCAGCAGCAGCAGCAGCAGAAAGAGAAACAAATAGCAGCAACAGCAACAGAAAGAGACGAACATGCAGCAGCAGCAGCAGCAGTAGCAGCAGCAGCAGTAGCAGCGGAAAAAGACAAGAACAGCAGCAACAGCAGCAGAAGGAGAAACAAATAGCAACGACAGCACACGAAAGAGACGAACATGCAGCAGCAGCAGCAGCAGCAGCAGCAGCAGCAGCAACAACACGAGCAGCAACAGCAGCAGCAGCAGTATCAGAGACACAAAAGGAAGCAAGAGCAACAGAGACAGAGGACGAGACAGAGAGAGACAAAGAGGGACAGCCAAGAGACAGAAAGAGACAAAGAGAGACAAAGAGAGACAGCCAGGAGACGCTTAAAGCATACAGCAGCAGTTTAGGGTAAGGGCGGCACAGCAAGGAGAAAAAGAGAGACAGATAGAGACAAAGAGAGACAGATAGAGACAAAGAGAGACAGCAAGGAGACACTTAAAGCATACAGCAGCAGTTTGAGGTAAGCGTTTATCTAAGGGGTCCGCGGCTCTGAAGAAAGACGGCGCAAAAATTTCGGCAAGACGATGTGGAGTCATCTGCACAGAAAAACAAAAAATTGTCATCAAATAAATAAATAAATAAATAAATAAATAAATAAATAAATATAAATATAATATATTTATTTGTTTTTATTTATTTGTTTATGTAGATGGTTGCATAAAGAGATGTGTTTACATATATTTGCATCGTCATATATTTTTATACGGATGTTTACTTATTGTTTTCTATGCAGGTATATATATATATATAAATGTATATATATATATATATATACATATATATATGTATATATATATATATATATGTATATCTATATAATGTATAAACAGATACATACATATAATATAAATAGATGTACATACAAATAAACAACAATATTTTTATATATTTCAAGTGATACGGATTTGTGTATACACACACTTAAAATATAAATAAATATATATATATATGCATATAAATAAATATATATATATATATATATGCATATAAATAAAT